ACAAGTTATCAGACGTGTTCCAGTCCTAGACTGGGGTTTCCCTGATTTCATCAGCTGCGTGTGTGGTGCGACTGGCACCATTTCGTATTGATCGACCGAGCGGATCTTACAGCTCGTGGAAAAGTGGCTCATATCCATTATCATTGACACTGGTAGTGCGGGGCTTGTGTTTCGAGACGGCCTATGCTAGTTCATTGGTGCAGTTTCCTACAGCTTTTGCATATCATCAAGACCTGTTCTGCGAAGTTCGGGCATCCACTCACCTTCGAGAACCCGTTCTCGGCCACCAACCTCCCAGACCTCACAGACCTCACAGAGTCTGACCTCGCAAAGTTCCCAGACCTCACAGAGTCTGACCTCGCAAAGTTCCCAGACCTCACAGAGTCGGACCTCGCAGAGTTTCCAGACCTCACAGAACCCGACCTCACAGAGTTCAAAGACCTCACAGAGTTCTTCACAGAGTTCAAAGACCTCACAGAGTTCACAGACCTCACAGAGTTCTTCACAGAGTTCAAAGACATCACTGAGTTCGCAGACCCAACAGATTCCGACACCATGGCGCAGATGCAAGATAGTCGTAAGAGTGCACATGTTTGGCTAGATAAAGATGGCATACCCTGTTATGATGGCGACGCAGCTTCAGCAGAAGAATGGGACGAAAGAGTACGGCTTGGTGTCTTGGGCGCAGAGACGGCAGATAAGAAAAAGAGTTCCATTGCAAAGGTCCAGAACGGCCTCACGGACAGAGCGCGGACGCTGAGCCACAAGGATGAGAAGATATCGTCTTCGGCTTTCACGAGGTTGTTCAAGAAGGGCAACACGGCAGAGGAGAAAGAAAAGGCAATCGAGGAGGCACTCGACATTTTGATCAAATGCGCGCGGGCACATTGCGAGAAGGTGGCCCCACTACAGAAGCACAAGGCGTTCTTGTACTATTTCAAGCGTGGTCATCGGCGGCCCAACGAGCCGATAAAGGACTTCATCGAGCGAAGGAGAGACTCATACGAGAAGCTGAAGGACCTCACCGGCGGCAGCACGCAAGTTTCGGAGGACTTGCGAACGTTTTTCTTACTGGACATGTGTGGCATTACGGAGGCACAGCACAAAACATTTCTGGGCCAGGCACAGAACGAGTACGATTGGGATGCGATATGCGGTATTGGAGATACAACTCGACGGCATCGACGCTCAGCGGCGACAGCCAGGTGGACGACAACATGGAGGACGCAAGTTCAGGTGGAACTCGGCCTTTACAGCGGACCTCGGCGAGGGCGACGGGAACGAGGACGAACCGGAGGATGGAGAAGACAGTGGTGGAGACGAGGACGGGGAAGAGATGGAGGCTTTGTCCTCCGAAGTGGAGGAGCTCGAGCAGGCCATGGCCATCGTGGACGTCAACGACCTCAGCGAAGGGGAGGTGCAGGTGTTCGCGTTTGAGGCTCAACGGCTTGGTGGAGCTGTCGCGGCCAAAGGCCGCGGACGTGGTAAGGGCAGCTCAGGTTCAACGGGCTCAAACTATACTCGGCAGCGCCAATTCATGAAGGACGGCAAGGCGAATCGTGGATTTCGGCCGGGCAAAACATACATCGACTTCGACGGGAAAATCAGCTTCGGATCGAAGGATCTCTAGGACAAGCTGGGGGCCTTCCAGAAAGTAAGCAAATGTGGAGCGTGCGGCGAGGCTGGACACTGGGCTGGAGATCCGGAGTGCAGCAAGACCAAGAAGTCCACCACAGGAGGCAAGGCTCGAGGACGAGGAAAAGGTGGCGGACGCGCTGGAGGTTTTCTGGCACGCACCGGTCTGGCAGCGGCTATGCTGGCGACAGGAGTCACCAGACCCACCGAGGTCTACATGATCGAGCCGACGCACTATCACATCGACGAGGCGATCAACCCGATCACTCAGGTCAACGACGAGATGATAGACACGATGGCAGCAGACCAAGTGGTACCTCCCGGGTACATTGTCCTAGACACGGCAGCCTTGGCACCATGCGGCGGAGATCGAGCGATCGACAGCCATCCTGAGAAGTTCGAGCTGGCGGACATACAGATGCCGACTCAGACCATCTTCAAGGGTATCAACACCTCGGCCCCCATCAAGGCCGAGAGTACTCAAGCAGTACCAAGCGGCATCCAAGGACGGGACTGCACGCTCAACTTCGAGAGGCTACCAGACTCAGATGCTCCTATGCTCATGAGCTTGGACCAGATGGACGCCCTAGATGCAATCATCAAGGTCACGAGCAACCAGGTGATCCTCAAGAAGATATCCGAGCAGCCCGTGAAGATCACGCGCTCGCGGAAGAACCACCTGATGATCAACATCACCGACTTTCCAAAGGAGCCGACGCAGCTCGAGGCACCGACGATGAGCACAAATGCGCTGGATGTAAGGACGGCCGAGAAGGAGGACGAGTCGCAGTATATGACAGCGGCCATCGAGAAGATCACGACTGCGGTGAACGACACCGGCATCATGACCAAGTCCCAGAAGAAGCAGGTGGACGTCTGGATCGCGGAAAACGCATTGGAACAGCGTGCGACCTGGAATGTACTACGCAAGGATCAACATCGACTGCTTGTTCCTGGGACGGTAGTGAAGGAGATATACGGCGGAGAGTGCAACGTCACGAAGCTCGCAGGCAGCTGTGGACTCAGGACTGGCCAATGCAAGGACTTACGCACCACTGGCGACGACTTGCTACTGCCAAGTGTTCAAGCAGCTACGATGCGGGAGATCGAGGATGAGAATCCGTACCTCACGATCGTGCCGTTTCCGTGTGACGGCCTCTCGCCCATCAACCATTTCTACTCGGAGATGGAGCGGCGTAGGCGCCGCACGAAGGCACTTGCACATGTACGATTTGCTCTACACATCGTCAAGCATCGACTGACACATGGCAGACATGTTTTACTGGAGAACCCTTTGTGTTCGCAGGTGTGGAACATCATCAAGGGCGAGCTCCCACCGGAGCTGATCTGGGTTCGATGTGACCAGTGTGTCTTCGACCTACGAGACGATCGTGGAGAGTTGCTTCAGAAGCCAACGAGGTTTGTGACGACAGCTGTGGCTTTGGCATATGCATCGGAAGTTCGGTGCACAGGAGATCACGGACATGGTGAAGTCCAAGGCCGAGGCGGCAAGTCCCGTGATTTTGCAGTCTGGACCCCGGACCTGGCAGAAAGGATACTCGAGGGCACGAAGCAACAATACGAGTTGGAGAAGCTTCTGGGTGGAAAGATCATCCTGGGAGTTCCCGACGCCACTGACGCATGCCCCGCTACAGGCTTCACGTCAAGCTCAGGCCTAATCATGGGCTCAGACGCGGAGACCTATCAACAATGGCAGCAAGTACCAGCAGCACTCAAGGCGGCAATCAAGAAGCTACACGTTCAGTTTTCACATGCACTTCGAGGCGACGACTTGGCACGACATATTCAAGCAGGTGGTGGATCACCGGCGGCGGCTTCAGCGGCAAAGCTATTCAAGTGTGAGCTGTGCGACTCTCAGCAGCGACCGCCAGCACATCCTATCGCAAGCCTACCGAAGTGGACCAAGTTCAACCAATGTCTTGGTATGGACATCGCCTACGTGCCTGACCTGAACGGCAACATGCACGCCTACCTGCTAATGCTGGACCTGGCCACCGACTACACCGCCATACAATGGATGATCAGCGGTGGCAGCCGCAAGCCAAGTCCCACGTCGAGCCACGCCAAGACGGCTTTCGTGGAGGGCTGGCAGCGGACACTATTGACCCCACAGCGGTTTCAGATTGACCAAGATGCGGCCTTTCGTCTGGAGTTCGAAGCTCTTTGCGAAGAACTCGGAGTTCCATGCGTTCCAGCTGCCCCAGAAGAGCATCATCAACATGGAAAGGTGGAGCGGAAGATTCGGCTCTTCAAGGAGATGGCCACCAAGGTTTTTCGCGAGCTCGAGGTGAAGGATGACGAGAGCGCCAAGGTCGCCGGTTATCAGATTGCTCAGACCATGGACCGCCTATCGTACAACAAGGGCTTTTCCCCAGCGCAGTGGGTCCTTGGAGAGAGCCCATCACTACCGGCATCTCTTGGATATATCAATACTGATCCTGTTGTTGCAGGTCAAGTTGCACATGGATCTCTCATGTGGCATCGCCTACGGCTCCAAGAAGCATGTGAGGTCGCATTTCACCAAGCGGCCAACAGCTCAGCCCTACGACGAGCGGTGCCATCAAAGACGCGACCTCAGCCTGGACCTCTCGAGCGCGGCGAATGGGTTCACTACTGGCGTACAGGTGGAAGAAAACGCGATCTACATCGTAAATGGCAAGGACCAGCACGTGTGATTGGGAGGGGCCAGTTCGGCTACTGGCTTATCCACACTGGCATACCTATTCTGGCTGGACCTAATATCCTCCAGAGGTCGACGCTCAATGAGATCGAGGATCACATTCCTGGAGATCAGCGCGAATGGCGAGGAGTTCCGCGTGGACAGCGCGGCTTCGTGGATTTGCGCAATACCACGTTCACTGAACCACGACAGCCTCTACAACCTGGGATCCAACCACGACCGCCACCTGATCACCCACCAGATCCTGTGCCACCTCCAGCACCGCAGGGACAAGACATGGAGGAAGTTCAAGATCGCGATGCTGATTCTGAAGGCCAACCTCCTGCACAGCGAAAGCGAGTTGAAGCAGAGTGGCCAGGAGGTTCGTGGAATATCCCAGAGTCGTGGGCCATGCTCATTGGCTCACAGCCTCGCGGGCCCTACGACGCCATCCTTGCGACCAGGATTGCACGATGCACGATGTCACCACTACATGAGGAAGATGTTATACCCCGAGATCGGCTACTACGGCGACGTATCTTTGACTACAGCACCAAGGTGATGATGGAGGACCTGGCGCGCAACAGCCTGGATGTGCCTTTCGACGTTCCTCTGGTGCGAGATATGGACATGACCGACGTCGTGGTAGAGTGCACTTATCGGACAGCGCAGGACCCTTCGGAAGGCCAAGCCCCTGGAGGTGTTCCTGAGGGCACTGAACCTCAAGGGGCTCCTCAGTCCTATGGATCGGACAACCCGGCTCCAGCACGGACGGCTACTCTGGGGACGGGCAGCGCACCGCCTACCACCTCAGCGGACCCCGATGCAGACAGTGCCCGCCAGCGACAGCGAGCACGACAGCACGCCAATCGCGATCAAGGCGAGAGGCGGTGGCTTAAGAGGAAGACACCGGCATCTCAAACCATTTACCAGAGTCGATCACACATCGGCCTCAACACGCTGACGACAGCAAACGACAAGAAGGTACGTACCGCATATTCGCCCAACCAGGTGATGTGCGAGTCGTTCGCAGCTGAACGAGCCGATCGTGCTACCAAAGGCGAGATGGACATCAAGGAGGTGTTGAGATGCAACGATCAGTACAGCAGGGAGCGCACCGAGAAGTGCCTCAACGCGCTCATCAAGGAGTGGAGTACCTGGACCAAGTGCGACGCAATTACTGCCATCGCCCCTGCGATGGCCAAGAAGATTGACAAGTCGTTGCAGATCGAGAGCCGCGCAGTTTGGACAAACAAAGGCAGCGACAACGATGCTAACTTCCAGCCCGAGTGTCGCATCGTGGGCAAAGGCTTCCAGGAGAAGTACGATGAGAAGCTACGACGAGATTCACCGACATGCTCGCCTTTCATGCAGAACCTCTTGTGTAGCACTGCGGCGTGCAAGCGGCTCTCGTGCTTCGCCGGAGACGCCACTGGAGCTTTCCTGCAGGGCGTCAAGATCGAGAGGGAGCTGTACTTCAAGATGCCCAAGAACATGCCGGGGATGACCATTCCTGGACTGGAAGAAGGGAGCTTGTTCAAGCTCAACAAGAGCATCTATGGCACCAACGACGCGGCGAGGGCCTGGTACAAGCGGATTGCCCAGATCCTGACGCAGGTCGGTGTCGAGCAGCTGCAATTCGAGACTGCTGCCTTCAAGCTTATGCACAACGGGGAGCTGGTGGGGCTCTTGTTTACACGTGGATGACATGCTCATGGCTTTCGACATGGAGAAGAACCGCGAGTTTTGCGAGCAGATCATCAAGCAACTGAAGGAGCAGGTCGAGTTCGGTGACTGGCACGATCTCCAAGGCTCACCCGAAGGTGCTACCTTTACAGGCCGACGCTTCAAGCAGGACAAAGACTATTCGCCATCGACATGGACAACTATATTGACGGGATGACCGACTACCGCATGCCCCGTGAGAGGGCCAAGCAAGACAAGGAGCTACTCACAGCAGCCGAACATCGAGCACTACGTGGCATAAACGGACAGGTTCAGTGGGTAGTGAGGCTGCTGCTCCACAAATACAGTTTCGAGGCATCAAGTCTGGCAGGCCAGATGACGAAGCCGACGGTGCAGGACATGAAAGATATGAGCAGTCTTGTACGCTCTATCCGGCGCGAGGGGAATATGCAGATGATATTTCGTGGTGGCTTTGATTTCGAAAAATCATTGCATCGCATGACGCGTCTTTCGACAACATGCCGAACCACAAGAGCCAGCGTGGGTGTTATATCATGGTAGGAGATGGTGCTATGATGGACGACCACAACAAGCTATACCCATGCATGCTACTGGCCTGGTCAAGTGGACGGATTGGTCGTGCAGTACGCAGTACCCTCTCGGCGGAGGCCTACAATTGTTCTGAAGCTCAAGACGTCACATTCTGGACACGTGCCGTGTGTGCAGATATCTTTTCGGCCAATAAGTTGGGACATGAGTACCGTCAGGCAGCAGAAGAGTGGAAGGGTGTTTTGGTCACAGATTCTCGTTCTCTGTGGGACTGTGTGGTCAAGGAGCGTGTTCACCTATCAGATCGGAGGCTCTCTTTGGAAGCAACTATCATCAGGCAGGAGTGCCAGCATGGAGGCATCAAATGGGTACGATCTGAGCAGCAGCTGGCCGACGGCCTTACCAAGAAGATGGACAGCCCATACCAAGATCGAGTTTTTCACGAGAACCTATGGACTTTCGGACCAGAACCCCGAGCACCCTCACTCAGGAAGCGGAAGCTGACCGACCCCTGGGACGAGATTCAGCGTGCTCAGCGAGTTGAGTTGCAGGAGGATGCCGATTACCTGAACGCCAACTACGCCAAGCCCAAGGACTACACTGCAGATGACGATATATCGAGGATCGGTGTGCCTGAGACGGCTTATCAGGCGGAAGTGAGCACATCTATGACTAGATTCATGCGTGCAGCTCTGTTTTCCAGCATTTTGGCAAGCAGTTTTTCTTCAGGTACAACGTTGCCACAGGTGGCAGCAGCGGCAGCAGCAGTAGCATCAACTGAACCGATGATCGGCCAACAGGTTTCAACTTATGTTTTGGCCGAGCCGTTTGATCAATGGTCTCAGTTTTTGCCGTCCCCAGCTGGGACATGTGCAGCAGGAGTTTCACTCGGTGCAATTTTTATTGCTTTGATGTGTGTACTTCTGTTTATTGCCTCTCAGACATTCAAGCCGGAGTCGGTATCGACAACGGATGCAGTCTCACATTCAGCCAGCTCCAAGGAGATCGTTGCAAGACCACCAAGCAACGGACTCAAACTGTCACCGAGCAGTGCTGCACGGAATATGGAAGATCCAGGAATGATTCACATGCCCTACACACCGGACGTACAGGAGAAGCTTGAGGCTATGCCGGTGTATGCGTTGCAAGGCATTTTGCGTGAGATGAACCTCCCAGTGTCGGGGCTCAAAGCAGACCTGGTTCGGAGGATCCTTTGGAAAGCTGATGGTTGTTCAAACTCGCTTTGTTTCGTTTCATGTTTGATGTGCGAACGGTTGCTGTTCGGCTGGCTTGGGCCGAGCCTTTTATGTGATTTTCAGAGCACAACTCGTTTATGCAGAAGGTTATTTATGCAGGCTGCTGATCTCCAGTTTCTGAAGCTGCAAAGTTTATATTCTGTGTGAAGATGAGAGTTTTGGGGACAGCCCGAAGCGCAGAAGATACGCAGCTCAGGAGTTGAATGCCCTTTTCAAGGGCTTGAGGAGTTTATATTGCATTATATGCCATGTTGTGTTTCCATGGCCGTTTGCTTCTCAAGCGATATCAGGGGATCCCCTTTTTGAGCCAGACAGCGATAACAAGTTATCAGACGTGTTCCAGTCCTAGACTGGGGTTTCCCTGATTTCATCAGCTGTGTGTGTGGTGCGACTGGCACCATTTCATATTGATCGACCGAGCGGACCTTACAGCTCGTGGAAAAGTGGCTCATATCCATTATCATTGACACAAGAGGCCCAAACCACAGTTGTTCAGTTTTTTCGAAGGATTTAGCGTTCTCACTTTTTCGGGGGTCTAACGCTCCAAGAAAGCCCAAGAGGCCACCAAGATCGGCCCAAGACGGCCCAAGAGGCCCCCGAAGAGGGCCCCAAGACGACCCACGAGGGCACCAAGACGACCTATGAGGCCCATAATGCGGCCCAAGAGGCCCCTAGGACGGCCCCAAGAGGGGACCCAGGGGGCAACTGGAACTCACGTTGGGAGATGTCACTCATCAGGACCGCCTCTTGTGTAGCGGCGTGGGGGCATGCGGAAGCCTTCACAAGTAGACGCGGCGCCAAAGTCACCATGCATTCGAACATCGTACGAATTTGCACATTTTTGCGACGATCGACAAGCCTCTTGGGAGCCCTTTCGGGGGCCTTTTGGGGGCCTGCTGGAGGCTTCTTGGGGCCTGATAGGGGCCTATTGGGCGCCTCTTGAAATATGTTGATACTTCTTGGGGGCTTCTCAGGACGTCTTGGTGGTGCCCTTCGGGGGCCTCTTAGGGGCATGCTGGGGCCCTAAAGAGGGCCCCGAGAAGACTCCAAGAGGGTCCCGAAAAGTCTCGGGGCCTCTCCGAAATGCTGCAAAACCATCTCTGGGTGACCCGGAGACCTCTCGGGCCCCCTTGGAGCTCTCTTGGGGAGCTCCAAGACGGCTTGGGAGCGCTGAAGGAGGCCCCAAAAGGGCCCCGAGGAAACTCGAAGCAGGTTCCGAACAGTCTCCGGGTCACCCGGAGATGCTGCAGAGATGCTGCAGCACCATCTCCGGGTGACCCGGAGCCCTCCCGGGGCTCTCTTGGAGCTCTCATTGGGGGGGCTCCAGGACGGCAAGGGGGAGGGCGGAAGAGTAGGGATGGACCACCTGGAGATGCGGACGCGGAGGACGGGGCGGTTTCTTCGGGCCTGATGGGGGCCTCTCGGGCGCCTCTTGGGGTCAGTTTGGGTTTCTTGGGGGCCTCTCAAGGCCTCTTGGGGGTCCTGTGGAACCCTTGAGGCGTCTTCTGGGGGTTATTTTGCGACCCTCTCGGGGACCGAGAAGCGAGACTGTTGGTGCTGCTTCTGTTGTTGCTGCTGCTGTTGTTGTTGTTGTAGTTGAAATGTTTGTTTCAGTAGTTGTAATAATAATATGAATAATAATAATTCTTGTCGTGATAGTATTAGTGATGGTAGTAGTAGTAGTAGTAGTAGTAGTAGTAGTCGTCGTCGTCGTCGTCGTCGTCGTCGTCGTCGTCGTCGTCGTCGTCGTCGTCGTCGTCGTCGTCGTCGTCGTCGTTGTCGTCGTCGTCGTAATAGTAGTAGTAGTAGTTGTTGTTGTTGTCGTAGTAGTAGTAGTAGTAGTAGTAGTAGTAATAGTAGTAGTAGTAATAGAGTAGTAATAGAGTAGTAGTAGTAATAGTAGTAGTAGTAGTAGTAGTAGTAGCAACAGCAGTAGTAGTAGTAGTAGTAGTAGTACTACAACTACTACAACTACTACAACTATTACTACGACTGCTGCTACTACTACTACTTTTACTACTACTACGAATCATAGAACTAGTAGTAGTAGTAGTACTAGTACTAGTAGTAGCAATAGTAGTAGTAAGAGTAGTAGTAGTAGTAGTAGTAGTAGTAGTAGTAGTAGTCGTAGTCGTAGTCGTAGTCGTAGGCCTAATCCGAGTCCTAGTCCTAGTCCTAGTCGTAGTAGTAGCAATGGTAAAAGCGGTAGCATTAGGAGTCGTCGTCGTCGTAGTAATAATACTTTTAGTGCTAGTAGTGATAGTAGTAGTAGCAGTAATCGTGCAATCAGTGAAATTAGTAGTAGTAGGACTACTACTACAACTACCAATTGCTGAAACAACAACAACAACTACTACTACTACTACTACTACTACTACCAATAGTGATCTTGGTGTCGTAGTAGTACTCGAAATAGTAGCCCTAGTAGCCGTTGTAGTAATAGTAGTAGTAGTAGTAGTAGTAGTAGTAGTAGTAGTAGTAGTAGTAGTAGTCGTAGTCGTAGTAGTAGTAGTAGTAGTAAGTAGTAGTAGTAGTAGTAGTAGTAGTAGTAGTAGTAGTAGTAGTAGTAGTAGTAGTAGTAGTAGTAGTAGTAGTAGTAGTAGTAGTAGTAGTAGTAGTAGTAGTAGTAGTAG